AGATCCACGAAAGCTACAAGGCTGAAAATTTGGCAACTTAGTCTACACATACGTGCGGGCTAGTATTCTCAAAATGGAGGCTTAAGTTCACGTGGTTCTCACGTAGGTACACATGAAAATTTTTTTGGCGGGAAAGCGTTTTCGGGAACGGTCCATGCTAGGAGGCTGGAGCTTCACAGGGTTGTTCCTTGGTCGCGTCTAATCCAAAGATTTCAAATTCAGCCTTTATGCACTTTTAGAACTCAAGTACGCACACGTCAAAGTTTAAACTGGCACCATGCCAATTCCAAATTTAAGATGATCAATAAGCTGTAGAGAGCTGCAATCCTGCAGCATTACTTGTCGCCCACTGTTGTGTCCGTGAAAGTAACTAACTTTTCAGCTCTTCTGCATCTCACGTATGGACACGTAAAAATTTCACGCATGCGCTTTTGTAAATTTAGAATTGAACCAGCTAGAGGCTTTCTGAGCATAACCGATGGCACCCTTTGACTAGATGCACGCAAAACGACTTACACATCACTTCCACGTCTCACGTGCGTTTCACATGCACACACGTGAAATTTACGTAACTCAGCAAGTAGAGCAGCTGGAGTGCTGAAACATTCTGGGCGTTACCCAGGGCCGTGTTTGAGTAACCGCAGGCGAAGAAGGCATTCACATTGCCACTCACGTACAAGCACGCGAAATTTGACGTGACTCTGCAACCAGAGCAGCTGGAGCGCTGAAACTTTCTGAGTGCTACCCAGGACCGTGTTTGATCAAGCGCGGACGAAGAAAACCCTCACGTTGCCACTCACGTACGAATATGTGAAATTTGACGTAACTCTGCAACAACAGTAGCTGGAGCATTGAAACTTTCTGAGCGCTACCCGGGACAGTGTTTGACCAACTGTGAGCGAAGAAAGCACCCACGTTGCTACTCACGTGTGAACGAGTGAAATTTGGCATAATTCTGCAATCGAAGCACCCGGAGCGCTGATTTTTTAGGCCACGGATTGGGAATCATGGTAATAAATTCTAACAGTCGGGTGGCCAGTCATAATTCCTTTAGCTCGAAGTATTTGCCGGGAAGAGCGTGCCACTGTCGAAAAAAACCTGCGGGGGAACCGTGCAAAAAACGTATCTTCGTACCGGCAGCCGGTGCGCTTTCGACTAAGTTTTTTCTAAAACTGGTTGTCGGCTGCATAATTAATTAAATCAGTAATCAGCAGTGGATCAATAGTTGCAATTATCAGCTAAGGGTTTCAAATCTACTTTTTTGAAACATTCTCGAAACTTGGAAAAATTCGTGAGTTAAACAATTTTTTAGGATGCAGTAAATGAGTTCTTGCTTCTTTTTTTAAATGATTTTTTAAAAATGGGCCTAAAGATTGAATGCGACATTGGCGAGAAGCAAAATCATATAAGAATGAAAATATTTGATATGCCAGGAATATTGAAAAGTCCGGCGAGTCAGTGTAGTATTCCATGTTAGTGATGATACTGGAGTGCTTCAGCATGCCGGGCGCAGTTTTGTCAGCCCCTTTCATATTCAAAATATTTGCACTTGGAAGTACGATAAATTGATTATCAGCAGACATTTTTTACTCCAAATATTTTTCACACAGATTCCGGAAGATGTTCCGCTAATGACAGAGATAGTGGCGGTTAAAGCGAAGGATCTGGACAGTGGCCAAAATGCCAGGATTTCTTATCGCCTAAGCGAGGAGAGCAGTGTTTTTGGGATTCATACAGCATCTGGAAGTATTTTTGTAAAATCAGTGTTTGACCGGGAAAAAATCGCTGAATATCATATATTGGTTATCGCTACGGATCATGGGCAGGTAATGGATCTCGCTTTAGCAGCTGCTTACTTTCTTCCTCAAGTATCCACTGTTTCTGAAGAAAGAAAAGGCGCTGGCTGTGATTGAAAGAGCGAATGATACTTAGAGTACTTATTTTGATTGATAAGAAAGTTGAACGTTTCGTTGGGTCTGTGAAATGTGTGCGGGAAATTGCAGTGCTGTGCGAGGGAACAAAGTATGCAGAAATTTATGAATAATCTTGCCAAAAATCATAATTTTCTTCCAGCCCCAACTATCATCTAACGCAACAGTTCAAATCAAAGTGCTGGATGTTAACGATAACTCCCCGATATGTCCAACTGCAGCAGCAGCTACCTTTACGATTGCTGAAGACAGCGATAGCGGCGCAGTGTTTGGCAGAGTGATAGCATCAGATCCAGATGAGGGTTTGAACGGAAGTCTGACATATCGACTGCAAGTGGAAGATGTCAACTTTGCTATCAAAAACAATGGTCAGTTTTGTTCAATCCAAAATAGTGGCCTTCTAGAAATATAGCCTTTCGCGTCTACATAAAGGGCTTATATCCCGACATCTTTTAACACAAAATAGCTGAGAAAGTTTGCCGCATATGGTTCCTCGCAACATCTTGCTCATGAATATACAAAGGAAAACTAAGCAGGAGTAAAGATTAGGCAAAGCAGAGGTTGTTTTTCCAGGAAAACAGTTCCAGGAATAAAGAGGGGAGACGCTTAGTTTTCCAGGACTGCACTGAAAGGTGTAAAAAATAATTTGAAGAAATGAATCTGCTTCTTTAGGTGAGCTTGTATTAAAAAGGAAACTGTCATCGAAGGAGCTGAAAAAAGAAACCCGATTATCCGTGATTGTGCTCGATCGAAACGGCGATTCACTGGCTCGCTCTGTTATCTGTCCAGTTCGCGTGGTTGGTGTCAAGGCGCATTCAAAAGTAAAATTTCTGGAACCAGTGGATCGCGTTATCAGGCATGTTTTTTCTCAAAAATCCAGTGTGGTCAGGAATAATAGATTGTTCAATTACTTACTTAAATAATCTTTAGTAAAGCCATCGATTTTGGTAATGGTTCCGATACCAATTTTGATATACTAATCAGCTGTTGTTTCACCGTCTTGTTCTTTCCATCTCGATATTAGTGCAGCTGACAGCTCTGCCATTCTTTCCTATCTTGAGCGTCCTCACCAAACAATGTTTCGCATAAACGTTTAGACGTCCCACAGCATTGTCGGCTTTATTCCCTATCTCCGTTTAATTCTGTTTGGGTACAATTCAGTAATCCGCTTTATCCATTTGTAGTCTCTTCTTTTTGTAACATGATCACCCAACTGATTTTTCTGATGCACGCTACTTTAGTACCATCGCCCACACTAGATTATAACTGTGCAGTAATTCACTGGAAATGTGCTGTAACTTGCTGAGCCTACCATGCGTCATCTTAGTGCCTGTTGAATTATGTTATCTTCCTCAGTAAAAGTAATATATTCTATAATTCACTTCCATACAACAAAAATGCCAACACAATTTCGGAACTAATCAATCTACTGGATTTTGGCTATAAGTTTTGGTTATAGCAGATCATTTCTTGAAGGCAGTGAAAACTTTTGCAGAATAAAAGAAGAATGTGGCTCAGGTTGTTTATTGAAAGTTCTCAATGCTACAAACGTTGCTAAGTGGGATATCGAAAAGAGCGGTACCTCCTTCGCCTTTTTGAATTTTACTCCAGTAGCAATTTCGTGAAAAATTACAACATTAATTTCTTATTTGTTCATTTCAAAAGAAAAAGACATTTGGGGTAATCTGCAAACTTTACATTTTTTGTTGCAAAATTAAAAAGTTAGACTTAGAAATTAAAAAACCACAGCTATTTTTTTAATAGGGTACTCGCGCAAAAAGAACCAAAAGTCAGTCTTCAAATTGTTTTTAAGGGGAATGAAGGTGGCAGTATAAAACTCCACGGGCTAGTGAACTTGCATTTTTGCAATCGACTTTATGTAAATGTGACAAGCAAATTTCTGATGAGGTAGAGAAAATCGTTTTCTGTTCAGCTGCACTGGTAACCCACCTTCAATCCTGATATCCGTTTCATCTCAGATTTGAGTTATTAAACTATTTCATTCTGTAGGAAAATTAATAAAAAAGTAATCCATCAGCTAACATTTCCCGATATTTTTTTTTCCAGATATTTCGCGTAACTTCGAAATCCAAAATAATACTCTTCGCACATCAGCGCATTTCAATGAAGCAGCAATTGAAGATAGTCGAACTCTGTCCGTAACAGCTTTTGATGTGAATGATCGGAAACGACAGATTACGTTCACCATACGAACAGCCCCTAATTCTCGGATATCACCAAAACAGGGCGAAAAAACAACTGTCGTGAGGTCTATATTAAATCCTTAGAAACCGCTTAAGCAGGCGTAAGCGTTGTTCTTGAAAATGATTTATATGTCGTTATTTGCCTCTCCGATCTTTCGTTACTTTTTTCTCCAGTTGGACCTTTCTACCTCAATTTTGAGGTTTTCTGGAATATTTTGCTTTCCTTATTCATTGACAGTGATGTTTTTTTTCATGTCGTTTTTTTTTAGGATATCAAAAACTGCAAGAGTTGGTTCACGATTGGCCACTATCAGTAAGAACCGAGATAGCAAATCAATCTGGCGTTTAGAAAACGAGGTACTCATCGTGCACTGTCTTATTTGAGGTCGTGAAAAACGAGACGTTAGTTCGGAACCACTGAAGAAGTCTGGTTTTTTTTTTGTGAAATCAATTCTGCACTTCTACTGTAAAATTTTAAGCTTCGCCTCACATAGTCTCATGTTTTATTTGACAAAAAGCATATGCTTGCAGCTATAATTTCGCCACATTTTTGGTTCGACTTTAATTCATACTCCAATTCAACTAACAATTTTAGTAGTTGTTTTGAACAATGCTGCATGATCTGCTGATTAACCAGTTGGCGTCCAATTCATCTTCAGAAAAGATTAACTGCTCAGTGGTTTTCCCGACACTTCAAATTTACATGCCATTTTATTCAGTCACCAGGTAGACATATACACACTAGCATACCTACACATGTCATGCGCTTGGTACATAAAAAGAGAAGCCAAAGAACACAAAAGCACCTCGCAGGGAAATTCGTATCTTAGCTTACAAAGCTTGCGAACAAGAGCCTACAAAGCAAAACTGTTAATAGTACTAGCGAACTTTCCAACGGAATGAGTTTCGAAGGCAAATCATTCTACCCTTTAACTACTTGTACACTAAAGAAGCCCCTTGCAACAGGCTTTAGCCATTTCGAAATGTCTTTGAGCTTATATTAAGCTACATCGCCTTATCCTAAAAGTAACGATTTCTATTGTTATAAAATATTATTGTTATATTGCTATTTGTTAGAAAAGATATAAATGTTATATTGTTTCATTGCAGTAATTTCAATCGTCAATATTTTTAGACAGACATGTTTTATTTGGATGGTGTCAGCTCAACGCTTTATCTAGCAAGCAGTTTTCGAAGAACTCGTGATGCGAGTTATCAGTTGAAAGTACTCGAAATGATGGCACCAGATTACATACACATTGAACAGCATGATTTGTTTGTTGAAGTGGAACCAGAAAATTTGCATTGGCCAAGATTTCCGGACTGCCCGCAGTTTTTTACTGTTAAAGAGAATGAACCAACCGGTGAGAATTTTCGTTTTTCGTCCATCTGTTATCTGTCATCCTCTCCCTACCACACATTTCTTGTGTGATATCCTTTACCCCCGGGTAATCGCAAAACATTGCTATCAGTAAGCTATAGCCGACCGGCACCAGTATCCGATTTTACATTGACCGCTGCATCACTGCTAGTTTGTTCTCGTGTGCGAGGGTGCTATTCATGTTTAGCATCCGTAAAATAGCACTACGGTGTAAAAATGTATAATTTGTGGAGCAAAAACACGCGTATTTGTTAGGTTCGATGATTGGGAAAGTGCCGGGTTTTGATGAAGACGAAGGTTCTGCTGGTCAGCTGAGTTATTCAATTGTCCAAGGACCACTAGGATTATTTTCGGTTGATCCGGATACAGCTGAAATACTGCTGACTCGTCCATTACGCTGGGAAAAGGTTATATTTCTGCAGTATTCCTTTGCAACTTGTAAGTGTTGGCTCATTTTGTTCTCGTATTGGCCTAGTTTTGAATATTTAGTTTCGATTTTATCGGTTTCGCACAAATTTCAGGATCTGTCACTGTTTATTGTAGTGGAGGCGGAAGATAATTTTCGGGATATTACGAAGCGAAAACGTTCCCGATGCGTAGTTTTCATTGATGTTGAAGATATCAACGATCATGCACCTCAATTCATCAGGTTCTTAATTTGTTCTAAGTAATTTTTTTAATATCGTGGTATAATTTTTAAGTTCCATTGAAAAAATCGATCTTTTTGAATTTGTTTTCAATTCCATCAATCCAGTAGGCGACTGATCCAACAGAATTGCGAAGCAGTATTTTGAGGCCTTATCCTTTTTCTTTTGATTTCTTTTGCATCAGTATTTAAACAGCGCTGAGGTTTCACTGCTTTTTTGTACAAAAATTCTTTTTTGTAAAAAATTCCCCTTATTTGTTTTTCATTTTTATTTCGAATTAATTGGTGAGTGCGAGATTTTGGGATAATGTTCGAGAAGATGCTGATGGAGTTGGAAACGAGATGTTGATGCTGAGTGCGCTAAGAGCATCTCGGAACGAATAAAGCCTTGTCAATGTTTTTCTGTCGCAAGAATTGCTGTGTTGGTAATCTCTTCAGGAAACGAAGTGGACGTTAAGGTTGCTAGCAATCTAACCAATAGGCAGTGTAGCGTTAGTCATTGCAAACGGAGAATTTGCCAGCTGCGTAAGTGGGAACCAAGCTAAGAACTGCAGCTAAATCAAGACGTTAAAATGATGAAATTTCTGCACATTTTTCTTCAAATACAAAATGTTTAATTAATTTCAAGATGCCATTATTTCAGTTCAAGTAATATAACAGTGGATGCGGATTTTGTTGATGGTGATATCATTCATTATGTGATAGCTAACGATGAGGATGACGGCCAGAATGCGAAAATTACATATACAATCATTGATGGCAACATGGATGATGCATTCGTCATTGATCCTAACAGTGGTACTGAAATTTTAGTCTTATGTTAAACTAAAAATTGGCTTTAAAACCGGAAAGCAGTGGACATGTGACATCAGCTAGTAAAATGCCACCATAAAATGAAAATATCTATTTTTTGTTAAGAATATCAAGACCGCTCGAACAGCCGGTGTGGCTTTTTCATGTTCGTGATGTTACTGGGGGATATTTACTCTATGCTGAAGTATGAACAAGTTCTTACAAACTAGGTGCATTGATCCTCCGCCGGCGTTTCAATGGCGAACGAAGTATCCGTATTCGTGCAAGTGACCATGGTCAGCCTCCGAAATATGCCGAAAAGGATCTGTTGATCAAGTTTGACTCACGCTATAGGCAATGGAAATTTTTCCAGCGCAACAGATATTCGATCACTTTAAACAGTAATTCAAGCATCGGAACTGTTGCCTACGATTTCTCTGCGAACCGTAAGTTCCACATTCTTGGAGTAACCAATTGTGCATTTTTGCCATGATTTTTTATAAAATAATGAAGTAGGAGATAAAGGATCAGACTAAGTATCATGTGCAAGAAGACATGTTTGGATGCATTCTGTGTTTCATCCCTTAGCTGTAAACACAGACTGAACGCAGCGAGTCAACTGTACAGTCTCCTACTCGCTGTATATACGATAATGAGCATGTGTGAAATTGCGCAAGGTATTGTCAAGAAGACAAGTGAGAAGAGGAAACTTGTTTGATGCCAAAATCAGGGCAAGGCTGAAGCACGAAGATGAGTCTACAAATTTTCAGGAAGCGGTTGGCCGCATTTAGAATTGTTCTCATATTTTATCTCCGATGAAGATATGCTACAGCTAGCAGATGATGGAAAATTGTTGATGATGAAGAAACTGATGCCTGGCAATTACACTTATTTTGGTAAATTATTTCTAAATTTCATTAGATGGATTAACTTTTCTGAGAGCCAAAGATCTGTTCATTCAAAGCCTGCATCTCCGTAACCCAGAATCGTAGAACCTGGCATAACTGCATCGGAATGTGACAGCACTCCAGTAACACGGTTAATGTGGAACACCCATTAAGGTTTGTCTAGGCGGTCCTGATATTTTGTATTCTGCCTGTTTGAAGTAGTTGCTGGGAACATTTGATCAAATTGTAGTCAATGATTTTTTGTTTTTTCTGGTGGGAATTTCCAGTTTTTGGAGAATTTTTAGCTGTTTTTGTCGACTTTTGTATGATTTTGGCAGTTTCTCTATGATTTTCTTGTACAATTTTTGGCCAAATCTTGTACACTTTTTCCATATTTTGCAGATTTTGGTCAAATTTTATACAGCCTGTTTTAATTAATTAACCTTTCCACGCAACTGAAAAAATTCCGCCTTTTTTGAGGGGTGAAATAGGCACATTTGCTGATTGTAAGATTAGTAGTGAATTTAGAAACTTTAACCCAGAAGTTTGAAATCTGGTAAGCTGGAATTCTCCTTCGTTCAGTTTCTGTAAATAAAACCGTGGTTTGTTTAGTGATAGCAACGAAAAGCGAACAAATGGCCGACTGGGCATCTGTTGATTTAACTATAACCGGTGGAAATCAATATCCACCACGGATCTCCCCATCCAGCTGCGGTAATCTAACAATTCGGGAAAACGTTGCGGCAGAAAGGTTGACGCGTATTTATGCACATGATCAAGATGATGGAGCAGATGGCGAGATTTTCTACAAAATTGTTGGTAAGTTAACATTTAAACTTACTGAGAGATGCAGCCCCTCTTCGAAAAGAGTTATGGACTCCGAAAGGGTCGAACCGCATTCCTTTACAACCGAGCGCGACATATTACCCACTATATCACTGATCCTGGCAGCACATCTGCTGTGTATCTGCTTGTTTTTATGCGTTTTTCGCAGCTATGCAATGCGGAAAACGCATATTGACGAGAGACTGTCTGTGTGTATGTGTGTGTCTGTGTGTTCGCAGAGCCTCTGTACCGATTTTTCATCTCGAGATCTACAAAAGCTACAGGGCTGAAACTTTGGGGGCTTAACCTACATGCACGAACAGGCCTCCATCTCCAAAGTGGGCAGTCTTATCCGCGTGGTATCCACGTAAGAACTCGCCAAAGTTTTTTACGGGTAAGCTGCTAACTCGAGAACCAGAAATGTTGGGAGGCTGAAATCTTAAGAGAATGCTCCCGTCCAAGTAGGTATTAAAGAGCCCAAACCTAGCCCACGGGTAAGCGTGGTACCTACGTACGGGCCCGCCAAAATTTTTTTCGGGTAAGTTCATAACTCGAGGATCTGAGAAACTGGGATGCTGAAATCTTAGGGTGATGTTTTCCATCCAAGTAGGTATTAATGAACTCAAACTCAGCCCCATTGTATGCGTGGTACCCACGTGCGGGTCCGTGAAAGTTTTCTTCCACTAAATTGCTAACTCAGGAGTTAGAAAAGCCAGAAAGCTGAAATTTTAAGGGGATGTTTTCTGGCAGTTCAGGTGGCCAGTCTTAATTTGTTTAGCTAGAAGCATTTGCCGAAAAAACCGGTGCCGGTAGCAACAAA